TCAAAGTAAAGAACACATAAGCGTGTGCAGAACAACAGAGATAACAGACTATATCACGACGGTGTTTGTTACCTGCAGAGGTGTTGGCTGCTGGTCCATTGGGGCGATGATGACCACCAGCAGGTGGTCAATACTCAGGTAGCCGAAGACATCACACTGCGGCACTGAGATGTGAGGCCGCAGGATCTGAAGGACATCGTGGACCGTCACCGGCTGCTTCTTGTTCAGCTGCAGCGACAGACAGCATTACATTCATGTTGCTGTCCAACTTTCATACAACAGGTCAGTGACACTTTAATGCTGCCAGCACAGCACCACAGCATCTGTCTTCACTGGAAAACACTGACACAAATATAATGACAGCATTGAGCTTACTACAGAAATCAATGCATTTCTAGCAGTGCTGTCAGCGTTAATCTCGTTAAATGACGCTAACGCCATAACCACATCAACGCAGCAAATCTCCCCTTTGTGGGGCTGCACAGCGCTAATGCGTCACCGCACTAACTGCGCTAACACGTTGACACTACTGGAGATTTGCTACGTTAATGTGGTTATGGCGTTAACGTCATTTTAACGAGATTAACGCTGACAGCACTGCTAGAAATGCATCGATTTCTGTAGTAAGCTCAATGCTGTCATCATATTTGTGACAGCATTGACAGAGCAGAACAGGCGCTGCTGGTTGTAGCCAGTTTATAGTGGATGCTTTGGGATTATGGTCCAACAGCGCCCACTGGAACCTTCAGTAGTTCTTCTCTGCTTTCAGTATGTTTTGAAAAACAAGGATGTGAATATCTTGAGAGAGCTCACGGTTTTATCTGTTATGAAATGTTTCTGGTGTACATCTCGGTAATGAGACAGCGTTTATAGGCCATCAGTTGGGACTGAACCAGCTTTTAGTTTGCAGGACTGCTGTATATTTACTGACAGATTTCAGCTGGTGTCATAACTTTACACGCCTTTTTGCACCTCCCTTCATTTTACACGTGTCATTTCTCATTCTCACACATAATTTATGGACATGTATGTTTGATTTCTTTGAATGTGTGGATTGTACGGGTTGTTACAACACATCACCATGAAAACTGGTCTTGGAAAACTTATTTTACCTGCTCTAGCTTTCATACCCTACCTATAAGTCAAACCTAACAACACTGATTAAAGAAAATAGTACTTTCACTTTGTCATCAGCATAAATCATTCATAAACACACTGGACAGTGGATTTGTTACCTAAACAAACAGCTGTGAACTGTCCGTACCTTTGAGAACGTGTTCATGCGCTCTTTGCTCCAGAGGATCTGCAGGACGCTGGCACATATGGGACAACAGGCTCCTGGATAAAGTTCAGAGAACATATTATAAAAAAATGTCTTTATGTGACACTATCCTACTTGTACTGACAGTTCAAAGTGTTTCACTTCACTTTCACTTTAACCACTTTACCTCCACAGTCAACTTCATCACCAGTTAACCTAAAATGCATGTTGGCCTGAGGGAGCTGCAGTCATGCCAGGAACCAGTCCTCACTACTGTACCACCGTGCTGCCCTGACGCTACATAAATGTCATGTACACAGTGTCATTTGTTGGCTGAGCCCAGTTAACCTTTTCATGTATGGAGCTACTCCACTCACCTGGTGGAGTGACAGGGTGGCAGCCTGGAGTGGACAGACTCGGACATGAAACCAAACTGCAGGCTGAGTCCGGGGCCACGTCAGAGACGGCCCCCACAGCTCTGCAGGGGGCCTCGTAGTCCACAGCGACACGGTCAGAGTAGGCGCCACACACCGTGTTGTAGGTCTCGCCGTTATGGCCACAGACTTGTTTTGGCTTTCTGCAGCCTTCCTGAGGACAGAACAGAGCACTATTTACATTATGGGAAGTGTATTTGTTCTTTTTGTACTACACATACAACCAAAAGCTACGTTTAATGTACTGTTAGTCTGATAAAAAGCACAAAACTAAAATGTACCTTTGTTGTGTTTTTGAATTTCAAATGGACAAAGCTGTGAGTCATCTTCATCAACAAGGAGGTTTTGAAAATTTAGAAAAACAACAATGAAATAACTAAACTTCTTTTAGTTATGAGTAAAAAAGAATAAAGTACAGAACAATACCAAACCAAAGAGTAAAACAGTGAAGTGTCGGGGGCGTGGCTAAACATATGGCTTTTGGTGAGCTCCCGCCGTAAAATCCTCAGAATTATACTTTTACTCCACGAACAGTGAAATTTATCACCTGTGGCCATTTAGCATAATATCACGTGAAAATATGCCAGCGAAGAAGGCACTAAAATGAAAACTAACCCTTCTCCAAATGAGGAAGACGATGTATCGTATGCTAGTAGTCAAGCTAACTCAGCAGCCACGTGTAGGCGAGAATACGGCGAACAACATGGATGTTATTCAGATTCTCCACGAGGTCAGAAATGACTTTTCCACGAAAATTGATGTGGTGCTGAAAGCCATACAGGACGTTAACAGGGACGTGCAGGCAGGATGAAGCAGAAGTGCGAATTAGCAACGTAGAAGACACAGTTAACTCAGAGAAAAGTCTGATGCACGTGTTACACAGGTAGCTCTCCTCACAAATAAACCTTTGTCCCAAGAAGTAATGGGTTCTTCACTTATAAGCTGCAGAACAGACTCCAATGAACACTTCAGATATACATGTTCGTGAAAATATTTACTATCGCTGGGAGACATGAAGAACCTGTTAGTTGTATTTTGTTCTTTTAAGATTGCTTGGTTTGGTCTTATTTACACTGGACTGGTGAGTGCACGGGGGGGAGGGCTGTCTGGTTCAGGTGGTAGCTAAGGAGATTTGTTCATGGCAGATTTTCAGCTTTGTGTTTGTTTTTTCAATACCCCTCCAAACATGAGGTGCTTCTCCTGTGTAACACACACAGGAAATCAACAACATCTCTCTCAACCTTAAAAACAAGATTCTAAGTGATACAATCATGAGTATTGTAGGTTCAGATGACTCCAAATAAGAAGTTTAAACTTCTTGGAGTGTAAGGGGGATGGTAAAAGTGACTAAGCTAAAGCAGGTTATTACCAGGCTTAAGCATCTGAAGTCCTCAATAGTTTTTATCCAGGAGACCCATCTACTCAGAAACGACTGGGTGAAAGTACAAAGGAGATGGCCAGCAAACTACGAGCGTCCTGTTTCCCATCTCATTCAGAGGGGTCATGGTGTTAGTTCACAACTCAGTGCGCTTTCAGGTAAATAACACTATTTATGACAGAGCGGGTAGATCTTTGGTGGTCCAGGGTGCCTTCTTGAAAGAAAATATAAATTTGGTTAATGTCTACGGCCCCAATGATGACAACCCATTGTTCTTTGAGAATGTGTTTTTGTTAATGGCCACCTTTCCTGATAAGATCATATTGGCAGGTGACTTAAATTGTACCTTAGACCCAAAGACTGATCGCTCGTCAGATACCTCACATTCTCAAACAAGAAAGAAACTACTTCAATATATAGAAGATTTGGAGGACTCAAAGTCCTACCAGAACGGAAGGCTCATGCTACTCTTCAACATTTAAAACCCACTCTCAAATAGATTATTTTCTCCTCATCGTTGTTACCTAGTGTAACTGACAGTATTTACGGTAGTATCGTTCTGTCAGATCATGCCCCAGTCTCGCAATTTTATAATGTTGTACACGTGAACAAACACATTTTAACTGGCACTTACACCCTAAATGGTTACAAGAGTCTGACTTCATAAAATTCATAGGAGAAAACATTGATCTCTACTTCTCAATAAATAGAAATCAAACCAATGCAACCACCAGGGCCTCTCAATGAACCGCTACCTTATTGTGGTGGAGGGGTTTGTGTGTCCCAGGGATCCCAGGGGCTATGTTGTCTGGGGGCTTTTGCCCCCTGGTAGGGTCTCCCATGGCAAATTGGTCCTGGGTGAGGGACCAGACAAAGAGCGATTCAGAAGACCCTTATGAAAAAAACATCGAGGGAACAGTTTACCCTGCCCGGGATAGAGTTACCGGGGCCCCGCCCTGGAGCCAGGCCCAGGGAGGGTGCCCGAGGGCGAGCATCTGGTGGCCGGCCCTTAGTCCATGGGGCCCGGCTGGGCACAGCCCGAAAAGTGGAGATGGGCCCATCCTCCCACAGGCCCACCACCCGCAGAAAGCCTGCTGCCCCCGCGACCTGGCCCCGGATAAAGCGGAAGAAGATGGATGGATAGAGCAGGGGATATGGCCAAAAATATTTATCACGATATTTATTTGAAAATTTGCGATCACGATATAACTGACGATACAATTGATGCGAGACAAAATACAATGTTCCTGGAGCTAGACTGGGGATGTTGAGTAACTGGAGAGAGAAAAATGTAATGAAAATATGCAACTAAATTTGGGAATGTATACAGTATAGACTATCCTGTACTTTTGTTTTTTATTTTATATATTTTTAATTTCCCTTAGTATTTTTTTAATTTGTTTTTGAATGTCTTGTTTTCTTAGTGCTTTCTTACTGCCACATATTCAAGGTGTTTAAAGTGTTGGATGTTTATGAATACAAAATTCAATAAATATATGTTTACAAAAAAAACAGTGAAATGTGGATTATTAAATATTAGGTCTCTCTCCTCCGAGTCTCTGTTAGTACATGAGTTAATAATTGATCAACAAATGGATTTACTCTGCCTTACAGAAACCTGGTTACAGCAGGATGATTATGTTAGTTTAAATGAATCAACACCCCCGAGTCATTCTAACTACCAGAAATCTCGAAGCACAGGCCGAGGGGGAGGTGTGGCAGCAATTTTTCACACCAGCCTATTAATCAACCAAAGACCCAGATAGACTTTAAATTCATTTGAAAGGCTGATGCTTAGCCTTGTCCACCCCAGCTGTCATTACAGTCGGCGTCTTCATGAAAGTGCAGACACGACAAAAGACACACTGTCGAAGACTGCCAGAAATGATTGATAACTAATAATTCAATGCAGAGTGAGTGAAAAGAAACAGTTAGGCTGCAGTAGGCCTAGGCTACTGGGGGCTCCTCATGATGCACTAAGAGGATTCAGGGTCACCTGGTCCAGCCCTAACTATATGCTTTATCAAAAAGGAAAGTTTGAAGCCTAACCTTAAAAGTAGAGATAGTGTCTGTCTCCTGAATCCAAACAGTTCCACTTTTCAATGCCCTGTTTACGGTTTACAAACGCCCCAGCGCTCTGAGACTGACCTGCTCAGTTGGGGTGATAGAATACTACGAGGTCTTTAAGATGAGATTCACAGGGAGCCAGTGAAGAGAAGCCAATATGGGAGAAATATGCTCTCTTTCTAGTCACTGTCCACGTTTGTTGCAGCTGACTGAAGGCGTTTCAGGGTTTTTTATTTTATTTATTTATTTTATTTGCTTGTGTTGAACCTTAGGTTAGGGCCTAACTGAGAGCATAAGTAAACCTTTACAGAAGTCCTTCTAATACTGAGAGGCTTTTAGCTTTAATAACACTGAAGACGTCACATGACTAAGTCTCCTGCTTAAAATAAAATGACAAAAACAACAGCAACAAACAACAGCAGATTCTGAACTCTTAGCTCAGCAGTTTCCAGTTTCTCAAGGTGAGGACAATCCCCCTGAAAACACCTGAACCTCTTTGTGGAACATACCTGGCAGCGGCCCATGTAGGCCAAGATTTTCCCAGCCTGGTGCAAATGGCACAGACTGCGGTGGTCGCTGCCCTCAGTGTCGCAGGCTGGGTCCTCGCTGTTCTTGTCGCAGGTTGCCGCGTGCCCGATGCACTCATACTGCGGACAGTCCGACACGTCACTCAGACACACGCGATACTTTGGGATGCACCTGCCAAAGCACACATAAACATATAGTATAAGTATTTGCCCCCTGAGCGCCCCTGATTTCTTAGTCTGTTACAGATTTGCCACACCTATATGTTACAGGTCATCAAAATAAATATAATTAGATTAAAGACGCACGCTTTAATCACATATGGGCAGATTAGCCTGGATAACTCTTTCCCCTTGAAGTGAAATAATCATTTAAAATGTGCTTGTGCTAGTGTGACCACGAAGTCAAATGTATGCAAATCCTTTATCACAGCACTGCATGTATATGACTCCATTCTGTCCTTTAAGGAACTATGTGTACACAATTTCCAAAGCTGCAATAAAAAGAGCAAATGAACAGGAGCAAAGCTTTTTCTTCTGAACACACAGGACCTCGCTCTATTACCATAGCAACTGAAAAGTCTGGGCTCGGCGAATCATGTGTTACACACACCTGAGGTGGATCGCTCACTGCATTGTTTACTCTGAGGAAGCAAAGAGCTTCAGCGCTCGCTCTGTGTGTGTGTTTAATATTTTATTACACCATTGTTGCACCAACACAATGTGAACCAAATCAAACTGAGCTATGAGCTGATGGATCACAATCGATGCTGTTTTGCAGTTCTTGTTGGTCTCAGCATCTTTTACAGATGCTTCACAAATACAGAATTTAAACGTGCTGATCTTGTATTAGTAACAAAATGAAGCAGGATGCAGTTTTAAAATAGATTAATCAATAATAATTATAAAGTTATTTGCTCATAATTTGATTATTAGCTTAGATGAGACACATATCTACTGATAGCCAAGCTGATATCAGAAGGTTTCACCCTCCCTGGCAGCCACTCTGAACTGATCAGTTTTTCCGTGTTCAAGACTCCTCTCACTCCGCTTGTTTTAGGTTATCCCTGGCTCCAGCAACACGATCTCAATATTGACCGGAGGAAAGATTACATCTCTGGGTGAGGAGATGATTGTCACATGAACTGCTTTGATTACTTGGTGATGCCATTTGGGTTGGAGAACAAATTGTTTGTAAAAGGGAAGAATTGTGAATTCCATGTGAAAACTCTTTCCTGGATTACATGATTGAGCAGGGGAATCTCAAGCCTGATCCGGTTAAAGTTCAAGAAGTATTTGACTGGCCCAAGGCTTCTAATTGAAAACAACTTCTATCACTGTTTCATCCGGGACATTAGAAGAATTGCCTTGCCTCTCGCTCACTTGATTTCTCCCACAGTATTGTTTCAGTGGGACCAGTTAGCTCAGACTGCCTTTAACCACCTCAAGAAACCCTTCGTCTCGGCTCCTATCCTATCACTACTGGACCTAACACGCCAGTTCATCATGGAGGAGGATGCCTCCGACCCTGGGGTGGGAGCTGTGCACTAGAAAGACCATGAAGGTAAGCTCCACCCCGTGCTTACTACTGTTACTCCTGCAGAACAGAACTATGAAGTAGGGGACCTGGGAACTCCTAGCCGTAATGCTTGTCTTGCAGGAGTGGCAGCACTGGCTCGAAGGAACTTCAAAAACATTCATCGTCTGGACCAATCATAAGAACCTAGCCTATCTGCAGTCCGCCAATTGGCTAAACGCCCGTCAAGCCACGTGGGCTGTTTTTCACCTGTTTCAACTTTTCCAACACTTACAGGCCTTGTTCACGCAACATAAAGCCTGACGCGCTCTCCTGGAAATCCTCGACCTCTGAAGACACTCCCAAGAATCCTGGATTCTCCCACGTACCTGCATCATGGGAGCGGTGACCTGGGAGATCAAATCAGCTATTTGGGAGGCTCAGTGGTTGGAACCTCACCATGTACCCGGCCCGCCAAGAGACTTTATGTTTCATCCTCTGTCTGGCCTCAGGTACTCCATTGGGCAGATAATACCAAGTTCACCTGCCGTCCAGGGATTCACCAAACTATCTCCTTCCTTTAACACCTCTTCTGGTGACCACCGCTGGCCAAGGAGACAAGGTAGTATGTTTCTGCCAGCACTACCTCAAAACAAGTCAAAGAGCTCTCCCCCCATTGGCCTGCTTCAACCTTTGCCAACCCCTGTACGACACACATTGCCCTTGACTTCGTGACCGGTCTACCTCCCTATGCCAGGAACACGGTAATTTTGACTATCGTTGATTGCTTTTCTAAAGTGGCTCACTTTGTGGCCTTATCTAAACTCCCTACAGCTCTGGAAACAGCCCAACTCTTCACGAACCACATCTTCCGGCTCCATGGGATCCTTTGGACATCATCTTTGACCGTGGTTTCAGTCCCTTACATTCATGCACAGGTTTTGCTGCCTATGGAGGGCCACCTGAGCCGCTCTCCTTCCAACCAAGGAACAGAACAAGCAGCTGGCAGAGCAACATCGGACCCTTGACCTGATTAGCCCAGGAAAGGGCTAGTAGAATCTAGCAGAATCTGGAAAGATTCTAGAAAACTGGCTCCCAACCCTCCTAACCCTGTTTCTGCCTGTCTGAAGTTACCTCGCAATATGCACATGCATGTTGTCTTCCAGCTCAAACCTTACCTCTCCAGTCCCATTGTGACTGGACACTCGAGCGAGTGTGTCGTGAGTGAGCGTCAGCATAGATTACGAGTTGGACCTGTGGGTGACTGTCTTGGTGAAGTGTTTCCCTTTCCTCGATTCCCTAGAGCCCTTTCCCCGTAGCCACTGTATAAAGCACCAGGTGTCACTCTGTAAATAAATCCACTTTAATCGTAACCTGCAGTTTGTCCTGCATTTGCAATATGTTTCAAAGTAATGTAAGGTACTGCATTACTTTCATGTTAAGTGTTCTGTGTAATGTGTGTAAAACATAATTTTTTTGAGTAATGACCCAACACTACTCACAACAAAGAGGGGAAATACCTCCTGTCACGGGTTGGGTCTCTGACCCAGTGTTTTGTGTTTTATTTTGTATTTTTGAGTCTTTTACGTTAAGGTTGTAATTACAAGTTCCTTTGTTATTCTTATTTAGGGTTTGGTTGAGTTTTGGTTCGCCATTATTATTATCTGTCTCGTGAGTTTTTGTGTTTTGTTTCTTGTCTAGTTTGTTATGTGTTTTAGGTCTGTGTGTGTCTGTGTGTCTGTGTGTTGAAACCAGCTATACCTCTCTGCATCTGCTTTTGGGCCCGTTCACAAAATACCCACCGTGACAACCTCCAACATGCACAAACATTTGACCACACAGCATGCAGTTAATTTGCATGGATGTAATGTCTTCTAGTGGTGAAGCAGACCTAAAGACCACCCAAATAGAACCGACAAGAGAATCGATAAGGAATCTAATTGATAAGTGATGTTGATAATGGAATCAGAATTCCAAAATTCTTATCAATTCCCATCCCTAGTTGGGACAAGGACAGAGAGCAAGTAAAATGTACTGAACCCACCTCTGGTTTCTCTGGCAGGGTTTGCTGGCACATGGTTTACTGAGGTGGCACGGGCCAAAGACAAACTGACTGTCCTTGAATCCCATACATCGAGCAACGCAGGCACTGGGATATGTCCGCCCATTAGAGGCACATACTGGAACAAAGCGGTCCTGGCAGCTACAGGGAAGACCTAGGGGAGGGCAGAGGGAGACAGAAACCACTATTTCACTGAGAAGCGTGACTTATATACAACCAAGAGTTAACAGAAAGCTAAAAGCTTAGTTGTATTCTAATCCATTATACTCTCCAACATAGAGGCAAACATCTCAGAATACTGGAGTTTGGTTCTGTCCATGCCTTGCTTTTTAACCTCTTAAGCCCCAACGCCCGCTGATACGGGGGCAAAACGCAGGAGATCAGGTAGGCTTGGGGCTTAAGAGGTTAACCCACCGGATGCAATTTTAGCAATCTAATCACAAACCTTTATTTCTTTAATTATTTTGGTGAAAAGTGAATTTAATTCATGTTGAAATAAGGCTACAACATTACAATACTTTCCACAAGCACTGTATCACACATTTATTGGGAATATATAGTCCAGGTATACCTGATGAAGTTCAGATGGAAATAAATGTTGTAATTTTATAAAGCAGTAAGTGAGGCAGTTCGTAGGAATTGTATTTAATTATTTTTATTGTCTTTTTTTCCTTCAAGCCGCATGATGCCCATTCAGGTGTGCAGAATTTTTGTGGTGAAAAATAGTCAGAGGCCACAACAGTTATGAAGAGGCTTTTACCAGGCTGTAAACTGCAAACTTTTCAAGGCTAAAAAATTGGTATTTTAAACCTTTGTTTAGTTTTGTGCTTTGACATCGGCTTCCTGTTGAGCTCTGGATGTTACTGCGTGGAATATTGTTGGACAAGTGTGATTTTTCTTTTCTTCAACACTGAATTTGGGGATAATCCATCGTACATGTCTAACATGTTTTAATAACCAACAAAAGCCACTTTTATATCTTATATTTAATAAAATAATATTGCATTAACCTGCCTCTCTGTGAATCACTACCTTATCGTGGTGGAAGGGTTTGTG